TGTGTGTGTGTGTGTGTGTGTGTGTGTGTGTGTGTGTGTGTGTGTGTGTGAATCAAAGTGTCAATTTCTCTATCTTTCTTTTCAAGTTATTTAGAAAATTTATATAACTGCCCAACTTAAGCAAATAACTCTGGATGGCTAACAATACAAAACCAATGTAAAAGTATACAAAATGTATAATTAAAAACAAATATAATAAATACAAAAGCTGGGGGAACTTACAAATAAATTACAGCCCAAAATTCATATATATTGAGCTGTGCTAATGACCCATCCTTAAAGCCCTCACATTCTTAATCAGTTGAAGTTTCCAAAGGATTTCCAAGGGCAGACCCATGTAGAGACCATTACAGTAATCTAAGTAAAATACTGTATGAGTGACCCTGAGCGAAGCCTCTGAATACAAGAATGGGCACAACCAGTGGTGGGATTCAGTCGGTTCGCACCAGTTTACTAGAACCAGTTGTTAACTGTTTGCTTAGTTTGCTGAACCAGCTGAAGCTTCGCATCTCCCTCCCAGGCTCTTCTTATCGGGAGGCTCATCTTGCCTCCTGGCCACCTGAACTTGCTAGAACTGTTTCGTGCCACGGGAGCAACTGTTTTTAGCTTGGACAGCTCCTGCACCATTCTGCCGGGCTATTGCTGGCTGAAATGGAGCCTCCGTAGGCCCGATGCAACCCTCTGAGGCCCTGTTCAGGCCTCCGGAGGCCTGCTCCGGCCTGTTGCAGGCCAAAATGGAGACTCCATGGGCCGCATCCACTTATTCATCCCCAACCCCATTCCCCATGGCTTAATGTACTTATTTTTCGAAGAGCTGCTGAAGTGGCTGAGCCACGTGGCAGAGAAGCCAAAGTCTTTTACTGAGAAGCAGGTGAAGCTGTAAGAAGGCGAGATGTAAGGAAAACAGCTTTCTCCATCTGAATAAAAGACCAGCTTCTCTGCCATGAGGGCCTGCAGGCTTAGTTTGGGCCCACTTTGAATGAGCAGCTTCAGAGATTGGACCACGGCAGCCAATCAACAAGGGGCTTGCAGTTCAGCCCAAGACAAAGGAATCAAGCTCCGTGTGGATTGTCTGCTGTTGCTATCACAATCCCTGAATCTGTCCTGAAGCAGGAGGCCTGCTGGCCACATGGCCCCAAGTGAAAGTCTTTTACTCAGAAGCTGGTGAAAATGTTTTCCTTAGTTTTCACGTTCCTACAGCTTTGCTATCATCTGAATAAAACACCTTGGCTTCTCTGCCATTGGGTCAGCCTCTTCTGGACATCTGGAGATCTTCAAAAAGTAAGTAATCCATGGGAAATGGGATGGGGAGTAGTAAGTGGAATCTGGTATGCTAGCAAAGCAGACCCAGCCTGTGAAGACCTGATGAGGCAGGATGGCGGGGAGACAATTGTGGGGACCCCAAGGGAGCATGAAGTATTTCAGTGGATTGGGAGAGGCCTTGGATGGCCTGCTTCAGCATTAGGCCCCACATGCTGTTCCCCAGCCTGAGATACCTCATGTGCATTTGATGACCTGCATATTAAATTAACAAATGCATTGGAGAAAGCTGGGAGTGATCATGTTCATTTAACGTGATTCAATCAAACGAATCCCCAGGTTATAAATGTAATTGGCAGGCTGTATTACATTTTTAACTGGAGGATAACATACATAATGAGAGTGAGGGAGGGTCTCAGGAAAGTCCTGCCTTAACACCACACGCGTCCCGTGTCACGCCACCCAGCCATGCCTACCCAGCTGATCATTAGGGCAGAAGACTGGTTGTTAAGTTATTTGAATCCCATCACTGGGCACAACTGTCACACAAGATGGATTTGCACAAAGACCTTCCTAACGATTACATCACCTGCTCCTCGGGCAGGACTTGAAAATCCATGAGGACTCCCAGATTGTGCGACAACTCTGGGGAATGCTACTCTATCAGGAGTTATTGATAAAACAGCTCCAGGACATGGCACTCTGAGACCTGGAGACAGTCAGTTCTGCTTGGGTTGAAATGTTCATCCCTATCTATGCTCTCATCACTTCTAGCACTGGTAAGCACTTTTACTGAATCATTTGTACAATCCAGTACAGAGATGTACACCTGAGTATTAACAGCATGCTTGTGATATCTCCCCCCCTGCTGATAGATGATCTCACCCAGCAGCTTCATTCTCTAGGCTGCCCAGCCAAAATCTATCTCTGAGCAGATCCAAGTGACCTTACCCAATAGATATTTAGAATAGTCCTTGGGATAATTCAAGCCAATTCTTTCCCTAAATAATACTAATTTAAAAAGCTTTGAGGCAGATCTTTAGACAAGCAATATGCTAACAGAATTTCTATAGTTAGGTTACAGCTATGTTTGCAATCATCATCTCCAAAAGATGGCATTTACCCATGGACTTCTATTATAATCCTTTGCATCCAGAGATATTTTTCTCAGAATAATTAAATCTTCTTAAGCACCATAGTAACCAACTCTTCAGTAATGAATTCACTATTTATAAAATTCATCCAGATAATCCTGCATTTTACAAAAATTTCTCTGAATTTTTCTGTTAGTTTCACTTTCTATTTCTTGGATTGCAGCAATAGAATAATCCAAATTACTGGCTTTCAAACTCCATTTTGACTATCTTTTCTGGAACACTGTTTCCCGATATAGATATTATAGATGTGAATGGATATCAATAGTGGACATAATACCATGCACATGTAGAAATATTGGCTTGATTTCATGTCTTAAGCAGTTGAGACTTAAAGAATTACATTTTGAGACAAAAAATGAGCATGAGTGAAAAAAGTTCAAATTTTAAAATAGAATATTGATTTATAGGATTTATAATTAATGTACAATTTAAATAAATATTTTGAAATGAAAATTGATCATTTGTTTTGGAATACTAGACTCTAATTTGCTTGTAAATAACTAATAACTATTTGGAAGATTTACATTTCTTAATATTTTTAAGATTATTGCAGTTGATACCATAGATGTTGCTTTGCTTCAACTCACAATTCTGAGAACTGAACACTTTTGTTTTATATGTTGTCATATTAATCCTCATTCAAATATACTATGAATATCATCTTGGTGATGACTTATAACATCTTTTCATGGTAAGCAGTGTTATGCAAAGTAGGGAAGAAGAGTAAGAAAATAAACAAAATAAATGAAAGGAATGATATGAAGAAAAGAAAAGACAGTGCAGTAGGACCTTGATTTCCTGTACCATAACCCAATTTGGTAAGATGCAAATTCAGTATTCTGAATTTGATTTCACACTTTCCCTCCCAAATAAAGAACAAAGCCCATTATTTTCAAAGAAC